TCCACTTCCTTTACAGATAATATGGTAATTTTGCAATAGAAAGAGATAAAACTGCTGAAAAATGTTTTGAGTTAATACTATATCCTACTTTAAAAATTATACTTACCATAGTAAGTTTTGCTTTACTGGCAGTTTCCTTCTTTTATACTGCAAAGCACTCATATTATTACAGATTTATATTATCTATATTTAACAGATTCCTTCCAGGAAAGGGTGGTAATATTCCCGCGATGCTTTGTCTCAATGCTGACACATCATACTGCAGTCTTATGGATTACTCTAGTTTACTCTTGTTTTTATAGCTTCGGCTGCAGGGTTTCAATAATTTGGGTTCAAAGTGAAGTGGTCAATTATACTCTTCATGTATCATTACTTGGGTTAATAAGGTGAATTCATTTTCATTTCATACTTTTGGAGTATACTTGTCATTATTTTGATGGTTTTTCCTTATTTGTATGATTCGTTTAGGTTCTTTTTATAAATTTACACGCCACACTCCACAGAAATGTTGATTTTATGATATGATTAACATAAAACATTTAAACCAATTAGAAGTGAAGTTTTCTTTAAAAGGTTATGACTTAAAATATGATCATGTTTTTTTTTATTCAAATATTCTTTAATGAAGAGAGATTTGTTTTTTTTTATTTAGTAAGAAACTAAATACAAAAGATATTCTATAAACAAGATGGTTTTATTAAAATTTTGAAATATCGCTCGTATAATTCATCATAGACTAAATATGTATGTTTTGAACGAGCAAGTCAAAAGTTAAGTCCATGAGTGTGCTAGCTAATGAAATTGTTGAAAGTGAGAAAAGAAAATCTCATATCAGTTCTGAAATGCATAATTTGTAAAATTTTCCATCCATATTTTCAAAATAAATTTTCTGCTGTAAGTGGTTGAACAACACCACATGACTATTTTCAGTAAAAAAAAAAAAATAACAGGAATGATTACCTGCCTTTTATCTTAATATAGATGGTAAGTATCATTAAAAATCAAGTAATTTGAGCATGTTTGCGAAGCATCATTATGATGAAGTTCTAAATAAATTTCGCTTTAGAACTTCAACATTAAAGAGGAAAGAGTAGGACTTGAACAGAACCAGGAGATTCACCGTCATCGGAAACGTATAAATATAAGGTTCGCTAAGAACAACAACAGTAACAGAACCAAGAGATTTGTCGCCATCAGAATCAAGAGCGGAACCAGGAGATATACCACCATCAGAACCAGAAGCAGTATCATGAGACTCATCACCATTAGAACCTTCACGATCAATACCAGGAATTCCACCATCATCAGAAAAACCAACATCGCCATTAAACACACCAATGCAATCGTTGGTTCAATAACGACGACAATATCTGGAATGATTATTTAAATATTACGTTCTTGTGGAAATGAAAACAACGATACAAATAAAAAAAAATACAAAGATTGAATGAAAAAAATAATTGAAAAAAGTGGGTCAATTTCTGGATCAATGAATTTTACATGAAGAAATACAACAACTTAATATTAAAAAAGGAATGGTTAATTCATTAATGATTCAAAGTAATTTACCTTACTCAATATTAATAAAAAAGGTACCGTTAAAAAAAAAGATTTTCAAATACTCGGATATAAACAATTTAAACACCAAATCTTTATTAACATTAGTTATCATATGATAGTGATATACATAGTTAATTTCGGAAAATACAAATTCATTTAAAAAATTGAAGAGGATATGAAACCATATAGGCAAAATTTTTAAAAGATTTATTTGACAAACTATCAGTTAAATTAATTTAAAAAATTAAAATTTTCATATTAGCCATGTTATTGAACACAATCGTTATTTAATTTATTTATTTAGAAGTCGTTCATTGTTAATAAAGATTTATTTTTTATTTTTCACACTAGATAAAAACAAGCCCTTGCGTTTAACTTTAGAAATAAATTTATGCATTATATTTGTTAAATCTAATTATGTCAGATATTATTATTTCCTCATAATATTGATTAAATACCGATACCAAACAACAACTAGACTTCAAGCGTTATCATGCATTTTGAATTTTTGAACTTTTGTGTCTGTAGGATTATCAAATGAAGCATACATAGCATTAAAAGAACATGAAGCTACCAAATTTCGCTGTTTGTCAGTTCTTTTCTTTTGATTAATGTTATATTTCTACGTTTTCGTAATTGGAAATTATCAATTTCTAATTATTTATAAAGTCGAAATTGATACTGAGAGGCTTTAAATGAACTCATCCGTTCCGTCAGCCAAGTACTTTTCGATAACATCCTATAGAAAAGTTAATCTTGTGGTAAAGATTTGAAATTTTAAAATATTTCGACATAAAAATTAATTCTTTTTAGATTTCATTTCATTGTGTTGCATTATAATGAGATAAAACTTTATTTTCTTATTCAAGTAACCAAATGTTTATCAAATTTTGATCTGCAAAATCCGGCCATATTTTTAGCCCGAAGGAAAATTCCGATAGTTTCTAAATATCTACGCGATCTAAATTTGTCTAATACTATGTTGATCCAACCTTATATTAATCATATTACGGAGAACGTGGAAAAGTCGGTCTTCGTCAGATACAGTTACTCTCCTTTATGAATATAAACTCACAATTAGATTCATTCTTGTACGAACGAATGATGCCCCATCATTTTTTTTTTTATTTGAACAATGAAAAAAGTAAATAATACAATCAATTTAATTTAACACTTCTACGTTAGAATTGTTCAGTAGAAGTCCATGCTGATCCCGTCGGAATTAGGGGAATTAGATCATGTGATAGTCATATAAGGGTTGTTTCAGTTTATTTGTTGATGTTACAATGACCGAATTATGTAACCTTTGTAGATTTGTACTTTATTAGTCATTAAAAAAAAAAGTTTTTAATATATACGGTTAATTACGTTTCGTTTTCTTTTTTTTCTCTTTTCTTTTTATAAAAAAAAAAAAAATAATAAAAAGAAACATTCTAATATAATTATTCGTTTTTGGAAATATAAGAAAAAAAAAAAAAAGATAAGGAAAGAAAAGGATAGAAAATGTCCAAGCTTAATGAAGATTGCCTGGTTATCGTATTTGAGAAATTATTTGACGATAAAAAAGCCCTATTCGCTTGTTTATTCGTTAGTAAATTTTGGTGTGAAAGGTTATTACCGCTCTTGTGGAGGGACCCTTGGGCCTTGTTCTTAAATGAGAATTGTGATGTAGAAAAAGCGAAATCATTTTTTAACACCGTTCTTTTGCAATTACCGGAAGAATCAAGAAGTCACTTGATTAAACGGGGCATCAATCTACCCAACCAACGAAAGCCGTCGTATGATTACGTCAGCTACTGCACGCACATCAAGCATTTATATCCATCAGATGAGAAAAAGGAAAATGACATTTATGAGAGCGTCTTTAAAGAGTATAATCAAACTCGACAACAATTATTGAAAGAGGAAATATATAAACTTTTCATTAGTAAATGTACTTCACTTAAGTATTTGGACATAACTAATATTAATTTTCAATTATACGGATTTCCCGGAGCCGAAGCAAATCTTTCCAAACTTAGTCAATTGGCTTGCAATAATAATAATAACACTCAAGTTCTCGAGGGATTTGCGAAATTATGTAAATTGATTGAAAAGTTGCATATTAATCTCACGAGCCTGAATCCTGGACTCGCTCGTTTAATTGAAGAACAGCAAAAACTAAGGTCCATCATAATTAAAGATAATTTCGTCGAAAACAATACAGACAAGCAAAACCCGATTGAACAGGCAATAATTAAAAAAGCAAAGAGTATTATTCACTTGGATTTATCGGTGGAAAAGGGGTCCAATTTTTATAACAACCTCTTTTCAAAATTAACGGATATACAAAAATTGGTTATATATGATAATAGGTATCGTAATGTGACGGTTCACAAGCAATTGAATTTTACGTCAACTTATCCTAAATTACAAGTACTTCAAATTGGTATATCCTTTTCCGTGGCTACAAAAATCATTCAGGCAACTGACGATAGTCTTCAAATGATTTGGTTGGATAAAGGGAACCATGAATCCGAAGATCAAATTAGACAACTGGTTCAGGCGATCTCCCGGTATTGTCCAAAGCTTAGGTACCTTAAGATATTTTTTAGGGAGGAAGTTCTTGAAGATTTTAAACAATTATTAGACAAATGTAGTTTGTTAGAAGGGTTATACATCTATAGGGAGAGTATATATGCGGATGATAATATCGGTAAAAAATTATTGGACGTATTACTCGATTCTGCTCCACCTAATTTATGTAAATTTCAACTTCATTATTGTTATTTTAAGATTGATACCTTGGATCAATTCTTGAGTAAATGGACGGACAAGAAATCGTTGTACTTGTATCCAATTCTGGTCAATTATTATGAGAAGAGATTTCTAAGTAAAGAGGAATATGTTAAAAACAAAATTAGGTTAAATGATTTGATTAAAAAGTATAAGGAAGAAGGTGTTGTTAAAAGGTTTGAAACATCAAGAAATTTTATGTTCATCAACCATTTCGCGGATTTAAATTTTTGAGGATGAAAATATTAATTAGATTTTTATTTAATTAATTCCTTATGAGGTATAAGATAAATAAAAAATAATATATATATATTCTATATAATTTAAGTTGTTTACAAGTGTTTCATAAATGCGGGAATAGGTTCATGCTATATGTTCAATAATTGATATGAATGATATTTTGTGATTGTGATTTCTATTTTATGCATATGCCAGGGTCCTTCTAAATAATTTGTCGTTTATAAGTTCAACATAGTAAAAGGAACTGCTCAAAAGAACTTTTTCTTTTTAACGATATAGTTTGTATGGTATTTATAATTAATCTTAACCTTGTATAAAATGGATTTCTATATATGATTATGTGTAATTTATTTTTTTTTTTATAGAGAGAGTGCATGCTTAATGACTTAATGAAGTGAGGGGAAAAAAAAAATTTTGATCATAATTTAAATTTTAGAATCTTTTAAGGCTTCTTCAGATATTTCTTTGCAATGAGTTCGGATACGAAGGCTTTCCTTTTTCCATGAAATGCTCATATAAAATTTGAGCGTGTGATCTGGCGGGGATGGAATTGAGTTTAGCTCCATTGTTTTGATGAAAGCACGACAATAGACATTATAAGCGGTAAGATCTTTCGATTTCTTCCTATCTCGCTTATTGATGAAATCCTTTGCCGTCAAAGGAAATATTCCGTTATTGATGATGTTAATAACTTGATTAGGATCCATGGATATCGAAACAAAAAAAAAAGGAAAGATATTAAAAAAAAATTATTTTTTTTTGTTGATACCAAAAAGGAATATCTGTGTGTCTTTTTTTTTTTTTTGGTCAAAAGCGGCCTTTAAATAAGAATTCTTCAGGCGGATTCTGTCGTCAATTACGTTGCACCGTCCCCGAAAGAAGTCTCAGAATTTCCATTTCTACACTCGCGAGTAAAAATAGTAAAAAAGTTCACTTCGGGAATTACCAATTTCGGCTTTTAAATCCGTGGAATTCCTTTAATGGAATTGTTCTTTCGTAGCGGGGTGTGGAATATTTTTTTTTTTTTTTGACCAGTAAGGTACGATAGAGATCATCGCACAAGTTGCGGGTCAGTTTCAAAAGTTCTACAGAGTTTTCCAAAGAATTCTTTCGGGAAAATACGTTATGATTCGATTAATTTATTCCATAGAAATTATCTATCACTGAAACAATGAAGAAATTACTAAAAACGGATAATAATATATCTTACTCTGTACACAAGATCACAACGATCGTTCCTCGTGTTGTCCTTTACCAGGAAAAAGGAACATAATTTAATTACATGCATGATTGTTAAAAACAATTTGTGTAACAGAAGTTTAATAGAAGTGTGTCAGAAGTGTGACAGAAGAATGTGATCTTCATAGCGCCAACTTAATGACACCGATTGCAAAAAAAGAAATATTATCACGTGCGAAGAAATAACGTATTTATATCATTTCAAAAAAAAAAAAAAAAAAAATAAATAAAAAAAATAAAATCATCCGAGCGTGAGCCATTAAAATAAAACACTTAAATGGTCTTACAACAAAATTATTTATTTCTTAAAAAAAAGAAATTGGTATTTTTCAATTTGATCAACATTTATTATAAAAGAACTTTTTTAAATGCAAGAAATCCGTTGATATAAAAGAGGTAAAAATTTTATTTAAAAATATTACTTTCTCCCTTTATAAAGAAAAGTTTAAACCAACTAAATCAATTTAAGGTGTATGTAGTGTGATTCGGACCTTTTAGAATGATCAACCCTGGCGTTGATATTTGTATACGTATTGACGTTTCTGCCTTTGCTATTGTTCTAATTTATTCAGTTTCTGAGCGTTGCCTGAAGTAGCAATTGAGAATAATTAAATAAAGATCAAAAAAATTTGGTTTCTTTTGCTTTGTGCTTTTCTATTATTATTGGTTTCCTTTTTTTTTTTACCTTCTTATCTAAACGGATTTGCAAACTAGAGATGGATTTACTACGGCATATGAAAAAAAGTATATCAAAAAATTAACAATTCTTACGTTCTAAAATTATTTTACAAAATAGAATCATTGCGTGACTCTCAAGACAATATAAAACTAGTCTGCAAATTTAACTTTAACAATAACCTTTAAATTTTACATTTTTCTATCTAAAATAAAGTTTGATAAATATTAAAGAAGTATTTTTTTTTATTTTAAAAGAAATTTAAGAAATAATAATTAATAAAATGTGTTTCGGGAAAAAATGGATATGTATCAGAATAATAACTATGTATATCTTTGGATAGCTTTATTTTACAAATGATCATGCTGATCTTCATAGACTGATATTTGTAATCCATTAATTAATTCGGCAATATTAATTTTAATATTGAAAATTAACCAATCCTCCACTTTGTATTAAAGGTATTAAAGATAAAAGATATTCTAGTTGCACATTCTTTATTTTTTAGATTTTTTAATTTTTGAGAAATTATTTTTTTAGAATTGGATTCAACTAAAGAGTTTAAAAAGAAATTTGCAATCTGATCTCTCTCCTTGTATTTAATGAAAATTCTTTTTATTACATCAGTCTTTTTACTTTAAAATATTGATACCTTTAATTTTCCTCCTTGCTTAAGTAAATTAAAAGTCAAAATTTTATATCATACATATTAAATTTTTTTTGTTTGACATATTTTCGGTAAATTTAAAATGCAATGCAAAAACAAAAAAATTTTAAAATAGTAAATTATAAAAAAAAAAGTTACAAAAGTTAATTATATATATAAGAAAAAAATGAATTTTAAAGTTAAAAAAAAAAAAAATTTATCAGAAAGCGTCTGAACGAATAATAATATATATTTTATCAATTGGCTATCTTTCCATTTACCAATAAAATTTAAAAAATCGTAATTACGTGATTGCGATAGCTGCGTCACAAATCATCAATATTGAAAATATAATAATCGAATAAAAATTTTCTAATAAGGTTCATTTTTCTAACAGTAGTGCTTTTGCCATTTTTTAGGAATCTCTTAAATGTGTTATCATTTTCATAAATACATGTTTAGAATACCTGTTTTATAAGAGAAAAGAAAAAATCAGTTTATTCATAAATTTCTAAATATTTATTTTATTATATGAAGCAAAAAATAAATATAAATTCAACATATGGGAGGTTTTCTATTAAAATCGAGTTACGAACATAATAAATCATATGATAGCTTACCTCCCATATGTATACTCGTATACTATGCTATAAGTATCAAATTCATAATTAGCTGGTTATTCAAAAAAAAAAGTTGTACAAGATTTCGGGTATTCTTTCTTTATAAGATCATTTTCCTAACTCACCTTACTCTGTCATAAATACACTTATAACCTACAATATAATTAGCATTCTAATTTAATGCAAAATTTTTTTTTTATAAGAAACGTTACCTTGTCCCCATTAACCCTACGCCAAAAGTTAAATTTAGAAGTTTGTTTTCCAACATGTGTCAAAATCTGTTTCTTTTCCAAATAAGGCCACTTTTTCTTCTACTTAACCTAAAATGAGCGGGTTCTGGACGGCAACTTTATTATAAATACGCCGAGCTGGCAAATTATAACTTTTAAATTGTCCGGGCCCTTTGCCAAATATTTTTATTAAAGGCAAAATTGCGAAAGTTTCGACGGGTGGCAAAAGTTTCGACGTATGACAAGTTTTAGATTTAAAAGTTTATTATTTTCGTATAAGGAGATCGTATATAGCAAAGATCACTTTCTTTTAAATAAAAAAAAAATAAATCAAAAAATTTACATATCATCAAGTCCAGTTATATCATCATTTATTTTCCATATTTTCTTCATTTAAAACTCATGACAATATTCTTATTTTCTTCTACTTAATCCATTAAACTTTCATTTGAAAAATCATCTAAAGGTTGGAACCGGATTCAACATTCTGGTTTAAACCCAGATATCCACAGGGTGTATAATTTATTAAGCTTTAAAAAACTTTATTTGATCTGCACAGTTAAATAGAGATTTCGATATTCGGATTTAAAACCGGTGTTAGTCGCAAATCATAACTGCGCCTTAGATGATCTTCAACTGCGCCGAAATCATTCATGTATCGTTTGATCGACTTTATAATACATGTATCGAATAGTTTACTTTTTAATATAAATATTATATAGTCTTCTTTTTATTACTTATTATATTAGTTAGTTTTCATTATATGTATCATTTATACTTATCAAAAAGCGTAGTATAGTACTAGTTAGCAATTTTATATAAATAGACCTGTAAGTTGACCTTGAGTTGACATTTGCTCAGAGATTGAGATAAGTCTTGGGACTAGACTTATAAACTCTTCAAGTTAATAAAGTACTATTTTACACTTTCAACTTTCTTCTTGTCTTAATCATAGGATTAATCGTGATAACCTACTACACAAGTGAATCATGATAATAAATTGTTTTGTTTGTTAATCATTAATTTCTCTTAAGAAAGACCTTTGAGATAATCATGTTATTAAGTTTATTAGTTTTGTTAGCTTGGTTTGAGATGATTCCAGGAATAATGCCAGATCTGATTTTTAAAATTAAATTAGATTAGATTGGTATGCAGCGACGACTTCGTCACCACTAGTATAGTTATTATACTGCTTTCTTATATTTAGTTTGTAATGGTCTAGATAAAGGTAATAGTTTATCAACTTCTATTTCAATGATAGAAAATCTTCCTTGTACACTAATAATGTTAATAAATGTTACCTTTATTAAATCTTTCCAAATCACCAGTTCTAGTTCCATCTTTTGGATAAAACGTGATAATTTGAATGAATTTATTAGTATATTGGTAGAGAGAACAGCTGATGATACCAACAGCAGTAACTACAAAGTTTGATTTACTAATAAGACACTAGAGGATTTCTTGACAACCTATATCAAAGCTTTATAGAAGAATAGGCGCGTTTTTTAAATTCAAAATTAAGTATGAATAAAGAATAGAAGATCATAAATTTTATAGCTAATTAAATTTATTCATTAAAGTTAAAGGATCATTCAGGTTAGTATCTTGTATCAGTATTTGGAATGTTAGAAATCGAAATGCAACTTTACCATTGGTATTATAAAACCTATCCTGCTTATGAAAATCTTAATTAATTGTATAATATTTTTAGATAAAAAAATCAGGAAAATCAAATTAATGACCCTAATCATCATAATGACCCTGATTAATCAATCAAATTTAAGTATTAAGTAATATGTTCAACTAATTAAATTTATTATTTTGCAAGTCACGGAAAATTTCTCGCATAATGCATTATAATTATATTATGAGTTATGAGAATTTTGATCATATAATGCATTATGTTCATATTGCGAGTCACAGAAATTTTTGTGTAATATGATTATGTTCGTATTATGAGTCACAAAAATTTTTTGTGTCACTCCTTTATGAAATTTTTTATCAATTTCACATGTTGCATATGCTGAAAGGCGCTAATTTTAGCCTATAACACAAAATTTTGTATAATAGCCTAAACGCCTAGTTTTTTTGACTTTGACTTCTTTTGAGTCCAAAAGAATAGGTAATTTGGTAGGTAACATATTATTTGAATTCATGATAGAGAACTTGAGTTCATAATAGGAGATATATATTACCTTCTTATAATAATTGACCATTTTTTGCTTTAATGTAAAAATTCTATTTGGTAGCTTTTTTAAGTTTCTTTTTTGACTTTTCATCACTTTTTTTAACTTTGGCTTCTTTTGAGTCCAAAAGAATAGGAAATTTAGTATGGCAGTATTTTTATTTGAGTTTATGGTAGAGAACTTGAATTTATGATAAAAGACATATATATGTATTATCTTCTTATAATAATTGAACATTTTTTGCTTCAATGTGAAAATTTTATTTGATAGCTTTTTTAAGTTCTTTTTTAACTTCTCATTACTTTTCATATAAGCTTATTTTTGAATACATTTACAATAAGAGTTTGTATAATATGGAAGAATCGAGTATTTAAGATAAAGAATATAAAGCATTATTAGAGTATAATAGTACAGAAGATTTTTCTGATACGGATAGGTAAGTAATTAAATTTTTAGAATATTATATTATAAATTGAGTGATTATATCTGATGAAATTGTGGATATAGAAAAGAATACAAACTTTTTATTGGTAAATCTTTTCAAAGTTAGGATCATGTTGCAAAGTTTATGAAAAGGTATGCAGTTGCTAAAGTCATGAGATACAAATTGGTAATAGCAGAAAGATCGATAAAATGATAAATAAAGTAATAAAGTGAAGGTATTTGTGTTACTATGCTAAAAAAGCTATATCCAAATAAATAATACAATCAAATATATCATCTTATCAAGTAGAATGTCCATGGCGAGTTAATATTTGGATTAAGAAGGAAAAAGGCCATTTAGAAGTCACAAAATTTAACAATATTCATATTAGATATGAGTGTTATCTATCAGCAAGTAAATTCATTCTAATATTACAAAAATTGCTAGATGAAATTCTTGAAGAAATTCGATTTTTAATCATTATTGCTAAAGTGAATGAAACAGTATAATACTGAATTATTTGAGAAAAATTCAAGATAAGAATATACTGATCAGATCTTTATAATGCTATTGATAAATTTTATTATGAAGCAATACTAGACGAAGAGGATATAGGTTTATTGTTAAAGAGTTTTCATGATAAAAAAAATTGAAAACCATGATAAGTAATCTTAATGAAGTTTGATCCAGTTACTTTATCATTAACACATTTTTTTAGATAAGTCCAGAATAACAAATTTTGTTGTATACTATCATGATATTGTTATATATAATAATACCTATAAAATTAATTGTTATAATCATCTATTATCTTTTTTCGTTACTCTAGACAATAATTTAAAGACACAAATCATAGCTCAGGTAATTGTTGATGATGAAACACAGCTCTTCTATAAATAGGTTTTTTAATGTATAAAAGAAGCAACCAGTATATCACTAAGAGTTTTCGTAATTGATGGTAATTCTGCAGTTAATGCTGCAGTTATGATACAATTTTCTGATACTTTTAATATGTATTGTATTTGATATATAAGCCAAAATCTACTAAAACAATTGAAAGGAAAGTTAGGTTCAGGTTTCAGTGACTTTATGAAAGATTTCTATACTGTAAGAAACAGTTTAAAAAAAAATAGTTTAACAAAAGGTATTACTATTGTTAATTTATAAGTATTATAATTTCATTGTTTATTAACATTATATTTAAAGTTTTTGTTATTATTACATTTATCAATTTATTCAATAAAGATGGAATGCTTTACTACAGAATTATTTACAATTAAAAGACTATTAATGAAGGTTTTAGGATACAATCCTTATTTGTGAACGTGTACATTTACCAATAGATATTTTATTGCTAGTGTATAATCAACCTCTTATAATGAAGGTAAAAATGCCATATTAAAATGACTTTTTAGAAGTTCAAGTCTTTCATTGTGTGAATTATTTAATGCATTAGAAAAAAGATATCAGGAAGAAAATGATTATTGTGAATTTGTGGATTAGAAGCAAATTATGCTGCAGATAGGACCTCAGCATATATCAAATTCTATTTTTGAGCCTGTTGTAAGACAATTGCATAAATTCTTAATGCCAAATGTTATTAAAATAGGAGGAGTAAATGAACTTAAGTTTTTGTTATTATGCTACAGAGATTGAATTCAAAAATATGCGTTCTAAAGAAAATGCAAGTATTATATACTATTTGGTTATATAATTGAATCACTTTTCAATATTACTAAAATAATTGTCTTACCTTAGGTACTTAATAAATCAGACAGATTTATTGATAACCTGTTTGACTTTTTACAAATCCATTTGAGTTCCTTTCTAGAAAATACTTTGACTATTCTTGAAGTCTGGAAAATTTTAATTTAGCAAATATGAAAACATTATACTTCATATACCTTTTGAATGGCAGTACCTTTCTTTATACATATATAATGTTCAGATCATATAAATAAATATGCTGCCACTTTTATCAATTAATGACTCTCACACAAATCACCCAATTTCATATTAGATTAATAAATTAGTATTGGTATAAAGATTAATTATAAGGAATCAACATATCAAATAATGAATTTATTGTCATTTCATTAAATGCATCAATATCAAAGAATTATTCATTACCAACCCGATTTTTACAACTACCAAGTTTTGATACCAA